AGAAATATAATAGGTTGGGTGTGGTGGCTCAGCCTGTAATCCCAGCACTTTGGGAGGCCAAGGCGAGAGGACTGCTGAGCCTGTGGGTTTGAGACCAGCTCGGGCAACTTGGGAAAAACTCGTCTCTACGATAAATTACAAAAAAAATACTAGCCAGGCGTGGTGGCGTGCATCTGTAGTTCCAACTACTTGGAAGGCTGAGTTGGAAAGATCGCCTAAGTCCAGCATGTCGAGGCTGCCAGTGCACTCCAGCCTGGGCAATAAAAGTGAGACTCCAACTCAAAAAAAAAAAAGAAATATAATGATAGATAGGATTAGTAAAATGTGACACAGAGACACAAAGTGATCACATACTGTTGGAAGAGTGGTGCTGGGGAAAAATGATGCAGAGTTGCCATAAAACTTCAATTAGTCAACAACAACAACAAAAAACAGTATCTGTGAGTAAAATCTGCAGTTACTCTCCCAACTAAAATCCTGAACCCATCAAAGTCATCCATAGGGTTGGAATCAATTTCTAAATTCCTGATATTGTTGATATTTTTACCCCTTCCCATTAATCAGGAATATTCTTACTGGTATCTGGAATAGTGAAGTGCAATAAAATAAGGAATGCCTGTATTTATTATTTTAATTTAAAAGGGTAAATATTCTGATAGTATCACATCTTTCCATTTGTAATCAGTGCAAATTAGATTACAGAAAATATTATTTACAATTATTTCTTAATAAGCAGACAAACTATAATTAACTAGTTTAGTAATCATTTAATAATTACAAAAGCTCTCTAATTGTTCTCCCTGACTGCAATATCTAATCTCTACTCAAAAATTCACTTTTCATACATCTAGTAAATGATCACAAGAAAAAAAATGACAGGTGGATCATTCTTAATGTTCCTTAATACGTTCATATTTCCTACTCAAGAATATCCAAACTACTGCTATCTCTTTAATCCAAAACTTCTATCATACCCAAGCCTTCAAATTTCTCTAGATAACCCTTGTTCCCTGAAGTCTTTGTTTTCCACATATTGTTACTCCTACACAGAAATCCTTCCTGTTTTCTAACTTCACGTTCTTAGCTATGCCACCATAGTTGTCCTTTTATATGTGCATCTATTATGTTGGAATTAGTTGGGAACATTATATCTCTAGTATGTGCCAAAATAATATATTTCAGCTCCAAAACGTCTTAGAGGACTTAAATTTAGAAGAAACAAATCCGTATTTCTTTATCAATTTTATACCTCTTATATTACATATTATTTTATATGCAACCAGTTTATTTAAGTACATATAGAATGTAATTACAGTTCATGCCAATATTTGCATTAGGCATATCTGTAATCCCACCACTTTGAGAGGTTGAGGTGGGAGGACTGCTTGAAGCCAGGAATTTGAGACCAGCCTGAGCAAAATAGCAAGATCCCATCTCCACAATTTTTTGTTTTAATTAGCTAGGTGTGGTCATGCATGCCATAGTACTTCCTAGCTACTTGGGAAACTGAGGTAGAAGGATCACTTGAGCCCAGGAGTTCAAAGCAGTAGTGAACTCTGATCATGCCACTGCACTCCATTCTGGGTAACAGAGTGAGATCCTGTTAGAAAAAGGAAGGAAGAAAGGGGAAAGGGAGGGAGGGGTGAGAGGGAGAGGTGGAGGAGAAGAGAGAAGAGGGACAGGAGAGAGACAGGACAGAGAAGAGAGGAAGACAGGGGAGAAAGATGAGGGGAGGAAGGAGGAAAGTTGGGTAGGTGGGAGGGAGGGAGGGAGGGAGCGAGGGCAAGAGAGATTTGTATTAGAGACTTTATCCCTGGGAGTAAATAGTAAGCAGTTTACACAAAAAAACAGAGTTCTTAGCACTATGCATAGAAGAAACTAAGTGAAGGTTCTGTATTTTTTTTATGTTGATTCTTTAAAAGAAACAGCATTTGGGAAATCATACTTGAATTTTTGTTTAGCAGTCATTTTACCCCTACATACAAAAAGAGAGGGCATTTCGGCCCTACAGTCCAACTGACAACTGTAAATCTGGCCAACTTACTTAATATCTCTAGGTTTTCTCCTCTAAACAGTAATAACAGTAATTGCACCTAAAGTACAAAACTACTACATGCATTGTTTAACTCACAGAATATTCAAGTATGTATAAATATTTCCATTTTCTAAAGTTTTAGGCTACAAAACATATAGTTGTCCTTCCTTTCTTATCTCCATATGATTTTGCTACAAATTGCTCAATTTAGACGAGCAATTTGCAAGTAAATATACTCAATTTTCCAACAGTATGAAAATGAAAAGTTAATAGGATAACAAAATATTTTATATCATTTTAACTAAGCATAATTTTTGTTAGTGCAATTAAGGCTATACAGACTGCTAGTCCATGCAGTATCTCTGATGAATGTGAAAAAGGACCCTTCTTCCAGGCAGATGAAGCCCTGTGTCAGGGTGTACCACTGAAAAATAAAGCATAAGCTACATTTCAACACCCACTTCTCCCTTAGCCCAATATTATTTTTAAAGGCACAATTTGTACAACATGAGAACAGCCTCAGGTCCAAATGAATCTGTATGTATATATACTCTAAATAAGTGCTAGAATAATTAATGGAATAAATCTCTCTCCTCCACTGCAAGGCCCTTTTGCAGTAGTCCCTATATCTATCTTGATGGTCCCAAATAAAGTCTACCCTGCATTCCTTGCAGTGCTTAAAAAAAAAAAGAGTAATTGTTGAAATAATTGGCCTCTAAATAAGAAAACAACTAATAGTTCATTTAAAAATTAAAATATTTTTATGTGACTTACTAAAACATTTTACAAAAAATTATTTCAACAGATACATAGTAATACAATTTGATTCTATAATTCATGCTTGCATGAGGAAAAAAGATGAATAACCTTTCACTATTATTGCAAATGCTAAGCAGGATTCAGAAAGCCATGCATGTAGTTCAAATATCACCATTACTCTGTTCTCTAACCCTAAGCAAGTCACTTTTTAGCTTCCAGTGATCCCTGTAAAATGGCTTAGATAAATGTGGTTCATGATAGAGGGAAGGAGATAAATTCCTATAAAATGCTTAAAATCTGTAGGTACTCCCTACAGAGAAAATTATATCTACAAAGAAAATTTTGACCATAAATTCAGAAAAAAATAATATTAAAGCACATTAGCTTATACAGTATATTAATATAATGCCATATTAATAACATAATGGGATTTTTAAAATTATACAAAAAACTGTTTATCTTCAATAAACTGGTAAATAAGTACAGTACACAGAATTCCAAAATGGTCCCATAATCTTCACTCCTAGGGTTATGCTTGGTACAATAATCCACTCTCTTTGAGTTTCAGTGGCACCTGTGATTTGCTTCTGGCCAACAGAATATGACAATGTGATGGAATGCCACTCCCTCTATTAGGTTACATTATATGGCAAGGGTGACAGGATAACACTCTCATTATCAAGTTATATAACATTCTGTCTTAGTTAACAAAAGAGACTTTTGACTAGCCTTAAAGAAGAGGCAAGCTGCTATGCTATGATGTAAACTATCTATAGGAAAGACAACATGGCAGGAAACGGCAAACTGCCTCAGTACTACATTTGCAAAGAAATGAAGTTTGTCATGGAACCAACCATGTTGCCCATCGAAGCTGGACTGGATAAAAAAAATGTGGTACATATACACAATGGAATATTATGCAGCCATAAAGAAAAACATATGGACTTCGCAACAACTTGGATGGATTTGGAGTCAATCATACTTAGTGATCTATCACAGAAACAAAGAACACCTAAGTACCATATGTTCTCACTCATAAGCGGACCTTGAACAATTATACTACTATAAGAAAGGGATTGGCAGTAGTGGGAAACTGTCGGGGAGGGGGGTGGGATTGGTAATTGAGGGAAACTGCTAGGGGAGGGAGGGGCATACCTCATCAACAAGGGTACCTGCATAATCATTGTTTGTATACCTAACCCTGAATTGTACCCCACATCTTTATAATAAATTTTTTTTTTAATTTTATTTTTTAAAAAAAGAAATGAAGTTTGAGCTTGAGCTTAAAAGAGGACTCCCAAGATACAGAATAGAATAGAGCCAGCTAACACCTTGATTGCAACCTGGTGAGACCCTGAGAGCACAGGACACAGTTAAACCATGCTCAGACTCCTAACCTACTGAAACCATGAGATAATATAAATTGCTTAAGCTGCTAAATTTGTGGTAATGTTTTACAGCAATAGAAAACTAATACCATAAATTTGTATATTTTATATTCAATATATTAAGTGGCACTCTCTTTTTCTCCAAAATGTATGCTATCTAGTTGTCAAATCATTCAGGTGTATACATACTTATACATTTAACTCTTGTCATTCACTGAAATAATGCTATAATACTATAACGGTTGTTAGGAAATTAGCTTGCAGCAAAAGAAGAGAAAAAAAGTTCCCCAAAGCAATAAAATAACAGGTTACTTGTATTCCTTTTATTAGATCACATGAAACAGAGTGGGCTATATAGTTCACAATTTCTGAAGAACTTTATATCTGCTTCTCACAACTCTTATACCCTTTTGAAATAGAATAGCTATTGTTTTACCCACTTTGGTGATGAAAAATATGAAATTAAAATAGGTTAAAGGAATTTATCCCAAATCAGACAACTAATAAGTCTCCTGTTCTGCTTCCCAATATGATGTTTTTTCCTCCATGACATTGCCTGTAGTTGAGAGAACCATGGTAATTTTCACAATCTCGACAGTAAATATGCCAGGATTTATCATTTTATGTTCTAAAACTTGCAGAACAAAGTCCATCAACAAGAAAGACATTATTTAGGAAAATTTTACATACACACACGTACATATGCACACACAAACATACACCTATCTTCACATACATACTAATGTTGTCTATATGTATAATTACTAAAGTGCATATCAATCAAATATAAATGCATAGAGAGAGTGTGTGTGTGTTACCTGGACTTGAAGCAACTGTTCTTTTATTTTAAGCGGCTTTGCTAGAAATATCGCCCTGTAACAAAAAATGTTTTTCAATGCATATTTTAAAATGTATCACTGCTTTGCTTCCTTGAGGAAGACTATAAACCATTTTGAAGGAATAAAACTTTTTAAGAAATTAACATTTTTAAAAGTGATAAAATCCATACAGGTTAAATGATAAACAATTAGCTAATATTTTTCAAGCTAACTTGATATTATTAAAATATGAAAATATTGAGTTTTTCAAAGTGCATTGGTCATTTTTTCTTCTCTAGTTGTTTTTTCTTCTCAAAGTCAAAGCCATCTGTCCAATGAATTTATTTTCACAATTTGTGGAACTCTATAAAGACTGAAGTCATAATTTGTTTTTAAAACTATTTTAATATCAGGGTTTGACCAAACAATTCCATAATGCAATAATTATTTTATAATGCTAAAGAAAATGTTCACTTTCTTAATAAAGCTACATTACAATAATCCACATAATAAAAAATAGCATTTTTAAAAAAAAAATCAGTATAATTAAGAAGTACAGCAAAAAGACTAAGCCCAGACTTGGGATTTAACAAATTACAAACAACTGGCTAAACCATCAAAGAAACAATATAAATCCTTTTTTCCTATAATTATTTAAAGATTTAATTCTGTTTCCATATTCCTGAATATCTTGTGGTTCACTCTCTTCCAATCCGCTTTTGGTTCTTTGTTCTTCCCTTTTTAGTTTTTTCCCACAATCATCCATATCCTGATATGCTTATAAAACTATCTATTTAACAAAATGTTATGATTTTTAAAACCTGCTAGTAAGTTATGTCTTTTTGGCTCTTAAACTATTTGTATGAAATAAAATACAAACTAACAAAGAAAAAAGTTAACATGAATCTTTATGTCTTACTCTTCTGAATCCTCAGGGCTTTTTTTGTCTCTTTTCTTCTCCATTTTTATACTTCTCTTTGTTCGATCATATGCAAGCTTTATTTTCTGTGTAATTTTATATAAACCAGAATAAATGATTAAGGACACAATAAGTTATAGAGAAATATATTGTAATATGTACTTCTAAGATTTCCATTTTACTCTTAGAGTTATCATACAATGTTTCAAAAAATTCTTGGAATAGAAGCAAAACAAAATTAATGATACATGTTTGTATTCATGCCTTACTAAATGTAAGTTGTATGTAAGCTAATACATATAGATACATTTAAATTCCTCTGACAAATGACAGTCAATTCTGTTATAACATGGCACATACCTTTCTGAAAATCAATTCACTATGCCAAAACATGCTATAAAACCTGCAGTACATATGGGGAAAATGGTGCATATCATGCAAAAACATTGTCAATGATACATTTAAAAAACAGAAACATAAAATGAGTACTAAAGTACACAGCTAAATAATTAAGAATAAATGAATACCATTTTTAGTTTTTTTTTAAGAATAAATGAATACCATTTTTAGTTTATTAAAAATACAGCCCTTTATCTTGAAGAAGATCTAAAGCTTGTTTGTGTAAATGAGCATTGAATAGGCTGCTACTTATAAGCTATTGTGAAATAGAAGGGGGTTATTTGAAATCGAATTTTAAAATTCTAATACTAGAAATGGGCTGGTATGGCACACTACATACATAATGAACCAAGGCAACTGGATAAAACTACTTTTTACCTTCATCTAGTACTTTTCAGATAAAACTGTATAAACACATGTGAAATTCAAATTATGTGCAAGTTGTTCAATAATGTTGGAACAAATTTGCATTTCAAAACAAAAACGGCAATACTGATCTCATGTATTAAAGTATTCTTGAACGGCTATGTAGTACAATGTTATTTTATATAAGAAAGTAAAGGAAAAATGAACAGATTATCATTGAAAATTTTAGATGAGTTCAGTAATAGGGACCTATAAAAGTATTAGTTATTATTTCCTGTTTTAGACCACAACTTCCAATGGATAACAATGTCACTACAGTGGCAAACTTTTCATAAATTAAAATAAAGTATAATAATCCCTCATAATAAGGGAAAAAGTATAATGGTAAATTTTATTGAAATTTATATACCCAAAACTCCACAACAATATGAAGAAAATGACCCCAAAGCACATCATAATCTAATTATTTAAAAGCAATAATAAAGAGAAAATCTTAGAAGCAGATTCTGTTTTTAAAATGGTGACATAGAAGGAAGGTGGCTTCACCTCCTCCACAGAAAACCAAAAACAAATATACAGTGCTGAGATTTTCATCAGCAACAACTCAGAACTCAAATATGAGGATAAGACAGATCCCATAGAGAAGTGAAAAGGAGGTTTGAAAAAACTCTAAGCAGACAGTAGGAGTACTGGCTTCCACATCCATGACACCCCTCTCCCTGTTCTGTCCTGTATGGAAAAATCTTCCCCAACCACAATGTCTACACTAGAAAAAGGGAGGCTAAGGTGGTCAGTCAGCTTTCCCACCACCCTGGATTTCCTGGTAGGAGACTTGTTCTTGATTGAACCCGTGGGAAGCATCATGATTCCCTAAAAGGAGAAATGTCACTGAAGACAGACAGAAACAAAATGGGAAGGCAGAAACAAAATGGGAAGGCAGGACTCCATAACCCAGCCCAGAATCTCTGTTCTGTAACATAATCAAAGGAGACACCAAATCAGAGCAGCTGTTCAACAGTACCATGATGTAGGAAGTATGTTCCATAGGTCTCTTGGGCCCAAACTCCTAGGCAGCCTTCCCACACTGCTGGGATAATCCCTTTGAGACCTCTTCCATTTGGGACTTGGCAGAACTTTGATCATTTACTAAAGCCAAGGTAAATTTGGACTTAGGAGGTCACCTAGAGCTGAAGAACAGGGAGCAACCTAGCAGTAAAGATTTGCTAGACAGATATATACAATAAAAACCAAAATAAGCTGAACAGAGAAAACTAGAACAATCTTTCAATTCAAAGACACAGACATATACCCATAAGAACCTACAGCAAACAGGTAACTATGAACTCCCAAAAAGGACAAAGCAAAAATCCAGAGATTGACACCAAGGAGACTGCATTTTGTGAGTTTTCTGGTAAATAATTCAAAATAGCAGTTTTAAGGAAACTCAGTGATATTCAAGGTAACAGAAAACTCAGAAATTCACCTGAGAAATTTAATAAAGAGACTGAAATAATTTTTAAAAGTCAAGCAGAAATCTTGGAACTAAGAAATACATTTGCTGAACTGAAGAACTTAGTAGAGGCTCTCAATAGCAAAATAGACCAAGCAGAGAAAAGAATCGGTGAGCTCAAAGACCAGTTATTTTAAAATATACAGTAAGAGGAGAAAAAAATATAAAGGAATAAAACCGACCTAAAAGATATTTTAAAAAATCTCAAAAAAACAAATCTAAGGGTTATTGGTGCTCAGAAGGGAATTTCACAAGAGAAAGGGATAGAAAGCTTATTCATAGAAATAATAACAAAAAAAATTCCAAAACATGAGAAAGATATAAATATCCAGGTACAGGAAGGTCTGAGAACACCAAACAGATTCAACCCAAATAAGACTATTCCAAGGCATATAATAATCAAACTCTTAAAGGTCAAGACAAAGAAAGGCTCCTGAAAGCATCAAGAAAAAAGAAACAAATAACATAAAAAGGAGCTCCAATTCATTCAGCAACAGATCTCAAATATATATATGGAGGAGGATTAAGTTGGCCAAGAAGAGGCAACCAGGAGATGTTTCTCCTACAGAGTAAACCAAGATAGTTTCCTCAGCACTCAGAGAGGAACAGAACCAGCAGCATGTCCCAGGACTCATCAAACCGAAGTGATAATGACCACATAGTGTAAAGAAGAGAAAAATCAAGCACCAGGGCAGCCTCCAGATGCAATGGGGAAGGTGAGTAAAAGAAATTCAGAAGTTTGTATTCTGTCATAGAATTGGAGGGCCTCCAGAGCCTTGCAGAACTCCAGTCCCTCACAGGAAACTGCCTTACCCACAGCTGTGCTCTGCCAAAACCCATGTGGAATGGTTTGGACAAAAAGCCTTGAGCAGCTCTAACTGTCATATCACGGGAACTTAACCCTTGCTGGTAGCTGCTTTCTAGCAAGCCTGGAAGAAACAGCCACCAATGACAAATTCCAGGCAGCAAACAGTTCCTAGCTTGGGAAAGCTGCATGAGTACAGCTGAGGCCAGCAGCACTTTGACAATCAGATCGCAGATTACCTGAGGTTAAGGCAGGAAGCAGGATAGGACTCACTGCCATAGCAACCTCTCACTCCCAGTGTAAATAAACTCTTTTGTTCCCCTCTTGCACAACAGCATTACCCCAGTGGCCAAGGACCTCTTCCAAGGCTATTATGAACACTTCTATGCAAACAAACTAGACAACCTAGAGGAAATGAATAAATTCTTGGAAACAAAGAACTCCCACAACCTTGAATCAGGAATACATAGAAACCCTAAACAGAACAATAATGAATAGCCAAACTGCAGCAGTAAATTAAAAGCCTCCCAACAACAACAACAAAAAGTCCAGGGCCTGACTGACTCACAATAAAAAAGACAACTACAGACCAATATCACTTGTGAACACAGATGCAAAAATCTGAAACTAAATATTAGCAAACCAAATTCAACAGCACATAAAAAAATAATAATACTTCATCATGACCAAGTGGGTTATCTCAGGAATGAAAGGGTGGTTCAACATACGGAAGTCAATAAACACAATCCACTACAAAAACAGAATTAAAAACAAAAATCATATGATCATTTCAATAGATGCAGAAAAAGTATTTGATAAAATCCAGCATCCCTTCATGATTTAAAAAAAAAAATCTTCACAAAATAGGCATAGAGGGACAATCCTCAAAATAATAAAAGCCACATTTGGCAAACCCACAGCCAATGTCACTCTAAACAGAAAAAAATTGAATGCATTCTCTCTCAGAACTATAACAAGGCAAGAATGCCCACTTTCACCACTCCTATTAAACATAGTACTGAAAGTCCTAGCCAGAGCAATCAGGCAAGAAAAAAAAGAAATATAGGAAATTCACACTGGAAAAGAAGAAACCAAACTATCTTGTATGCCAACAAAAGGATCTTATACCTAGAGAACCCTGAAGACTCCTGGACTTAATAAATGAATTTGGTAAAGTTTCAGGATGCAAAATTAACACACACAAATCAGTAGCACTGTTATATACCACTAGCGACCAAGTTGAGACTCAAATCAAGAACTCAATTCAATTTCAATAGAAGTCAAAAGGCAGGAGAAAGCATGGGGAGACAATCAGGAGCCGGCTTCCACCAGAGCAAAGACGCACATCACTTTATTGTCCCTGTCCCAGAATCCAGGTAGAGATGTGCTCCTACCTGCCCATTACTGAACAGCCTGCATCCTGAGAGTAAGGGATGAGCTCCGTGCCCATCTGGGATCAATCACTGTTAGCCCAGAGAAGATATCCCAGGTGCACTATACCTCAATAGACAAGCATGGATTTCCAGTCACCCTAGCCCCCACACTAGAACATTCACAAAACAACGGTGCAATCAGAGTGAAAGACATAGCAGCTGACAAGTAGGTTGGCTCTTGAACTGATCCAACCCCCTTCCCGCAGCAGTTTGCGGGGGTGTCTGACCCATGTGGAGAGCACCCTAATCACTTGGAGAGGACTAAACACAGGCATGTGGAGCAACCAAGAAAAGCCCCCCTTGACCCCACGGAGGATAGGGGGTAGGTCTAGAGCACAGAGCCTGCTCCCTTCCATGGAGAGCCAAGAGCTGCAAAAAATGGAACACGATGGCAAAAAATGGAACCTGAAGTTCCAGAAACAACCACAAGAGGAAGTTCCAACCTCACAAAACATTTTGGAAGCATCTGTTGTTATTTTTTTCCTTTTTTTTCCCTTGCTCTCTCTCTATATCTCTGTGTGTGTGTGTTTGTGTGTGTGTGTGTGTGTGTGTGTGTGTGTGTGTGTGTGTGTG